AGTGGGATAAAACTGGTAAAAAATTCCTATCAAAGAACACATTTTCTCTGACAAGAGAACTATAAAAGACTTACATTTTCATTTAACAAACTCCTCTATTTTGCCATCTTTGATATTTGAAGTAACGGAACACTATGGTTTTTTCCTTGTTTCTTCCCCTGAATGGAGGCTGCAGAATGCAGAGCTGTATCTGTCTCGGAGGAAACACAGAAGTGGGAAGGAAAGAGAGGGAATCATTGCCACCGAGTGGGAAAACACAAAACTGCAGCATGTGCCTCAACTGGTTGTTTTTTTCTTCTCTGTTCAACTCTGATGGGGAAAACATGTCAGTCAGCTCTCTTAGCAGCACCCTGCCAATTAGGTGCGAGTTTTCAACTTAGCTCTATTATTTCCTTCAGCAGAATTTAAATTATGTTTATACTGTCATATAAATTTAGTAGGGAGGGCTTTTTCAAATAATTATAGAAAGATCATRTGGTGAGTACACWTAGAGCTCATTCATTTAAAGAACRCTTTYCAATGAGATTTTTTTTCYTAAAATCAAATTTCAAGTTCACAAAATCAGCAGGAGGAGAATAATGGCATTCTCTGCAGGGTGAAGAGAAAGGCCACACTACTAATCTTTTTTTATTTGCATGGAGTGGCATGTGTCAAATAAAAGTACCTGCAATATAAAATAGTGGTGAACATTTATCAATGCACAGTTGTGATAAAGTAGYCATATTTTAATATCCTGTCCATTTWWMAAAGATAGGCTCAGATTTGTAAAGAAAACATGTTGTTTCTAGTTATTTCACTTTTTTTTTCTGTGATGTTGGGTACTACTTCATCTTCAGGATTACTGTGATCACAGATACACTCTTTCATTCTGTTTCTACTTACAAATACCTGCACCTGTTTAGTGAAAMAAAATATTTAATAAAAGCTTGTACCCTGGGAAAATTCAGAATATCATTACTATGCTCTAAGGCAAATGACAAGAATACTCAGGAATGTCACTGTGTTTGCCAGGTTTGAGAGGCAGGAGAGCCTGGGTTCAAGTCTGTAAAAATCAGGCAAAAGCAGGCTTTTCATAACCTAAGGGAGCCTTCTAGCACCACTTYCAAAACCTTTTGTTAGCTCTGAAGACGTTGACCATTGTGAATTTCAGAGAAGAATTCACAAATATATCTTCAACTCCCCCTTTCCTTTCCCTGTTTGTCACCTAGTCTTCTCTGAAACCATAGCTTTTGCCTTAACATYTTCTGTGAGTTAATGGTGGCCACCTGTGTGAATTTTTGTTAGCCGAAACATCAAAACCTCAAAGTTCCTGTGGGTCGATCTGTTTCTTAGGACCTTGCATCKGGGTTTTACAAGGAACTTAGATCTGCTAATCCAAACTCCTCGCAGCAATGTAGCACTTAATAATAGGCAATCAAATAATTTCTAGTGTATTACAGGAAAAAAGCAATCCAGTAGAGTCTATGGGTTGTTACCCGGAATTGTTCAACTGAAGTGACTCTGTTTCACACCAATTTTCACTGAAGATAAAAGGGCATAKTCASGGGTCCATCAATTTGACAGGCACTGAACTAATCATCTGATGCAACACTTGTCAATGAMAGTGCCTGGARCATTTAATCTTTGCAAACAAACCTGAAAACTACAACGAGGTGTGTACAATCTGTTCTGAAGCTCACATTTATTGCCAAATGTTGTAAAATTATTCCTCTTTCTTGGAAAACTATTTGTAAAGAGTGCAAAGTGGTTAAGTCAGGATAAAAGCTTTGTGGAATATTTGAAGCCTATCTAAGTAACACACACTGAGAACTCAGTTTTAAACTTGCACTTTTTGAGAGACTAGTGAGAATTTCTAACTTTTCACTGTTTCTGGAGAAATGGAAGGAATTACCATATACATTGAGGAAACATCTTTTGTTCTTTTACTGTTATTAGGGTGCATGTTATCAGCAACCAACTGTGGTTAAAATTGCACTTGGTTTATAAACTCCTAAAATAATTTCAAATGAAAAATGTGTTTGTGTATTATTAGATTAATAAGACTGTAGTAAGATGTAAAATTAGTAAATTTTAGAGTCTGTTGTTAATCATCTCTTTATTGCATTTAGAAAAATACAGCAAACAAATTACCATAAAGCTCTTACTGTATGAGAGAAAAGCTGCTACAAATAGAGAGGGAAATGTTGACAATGCAAATTAATTAAATTATGAAAAAAAAAAATAAAAATTGAAGTATCAACTCCCTTCCTTTCACATGCAAAAGTCTGCACTTGTCAGGAAATATTCTCCCCATAATTTCTCAACTGGGTCTGGCAACATGTCAAGTCTAAACCATGCCAAATGAATTAGCTTAACAAAGGTATAAATATGCTCAGACAAAAAGAGCTAACACGTGACTGGTTTATGTGATGTTCTTTCAATTAGCCATATTCTAATAAGCCTCAGTTTTAATTTCATAGGACTCAGAATTAATTTAGCATTGGTGAATTCTCCTCCCCSTCAGTAATTAACTATGTAACTGTGACTAATGAAAAAAAAGAAGTCAAATTGCATATTGGTTTTATCAGCAGTTATAGATAATTAATTAATCATTGGTTCTATTTAAATTGGTTGAGTATTATTATTAAAAAGTAAGTAATCACTGCTGAGTTGCCTTTCATTTTCATATTCTAAAAGCTCAACTGAACACAGTTGCATACATATGCTTYTTTTAATGATAAAAACTCTTTGGAAATTAATATTTTTCTCTTTTGTTATTTTCAAGCATTAAGGAAGGTTTATGGCAGTTAAACAAACTGAAGATACATATTGAAGAAAGTCATAATAACTGGAGTTAATTCTACACAGGTCTACAGTAATAGTGAGTCATGACACTATATTTAACACTATGAACTGGTATCATCACAATGATGAAAAATACTAAAATTTGTCATGTTTTGTTGATCCATACTGTGATCATACAGTATTTTTTCTTCCAAATTGTCCATCCACCAAATGTTTAAAATGTCACAGACTAGTTCCTGTTACAACTATCAAAAACAGTAAGACATGCATGAAAAGCATTTTATTTTAAATAAATATATTTTATATTAAGTATTTTGACCCATATTCCCCATGTATGTATTAAGTGAGAAAATCCAAAGCCAKTTATAATCATGGCAGGGGATCTGCAAATGCATTGGACAAGTGTTATAAAAACCATTTTAAGATCATTCTGTAGGAATCMGAAGGCATTGAAAATGTGTTTAACCTTAGGACTTCTCTTTTCTTAACTCTTAAAATACTGTGCCAGTTAGAAAAATATGTATAAGGATACAGTTTCATCCTGCTAAATTCCTGCAGGAATTTATGACAATTTTAGTGTGTATTTCTCCAGTGTGGGAGAGTTGGGCTCCCACACAAGAGGACCGAGCCCACCCAAAACACCAACATTCAGCTCGGGTGAGCTTTGCCATTCACTCAACACCCCAAGAGCAGCAGCACTCCCTGTGCCACCACACACACTGCGGGACCCTGACACTGTTTTGCATTTTCAGGGAAATGATTGGACTCTGAACTAAGCCGTGCTTTTGCACAGAGATTGGAGTCTCACTTCTCCTTTTATAACCCAGTCATTTCTGTGCCTCCGAGACCGCAGTGGGAGCTGCTGGTTCCACAGAGCTGATCAGCGGTGTTTGGCTGCGTTCTRCACAGCAGCTCATACCTCCTACTGACTCAGGAATTGTATTGCTGCTTTCTTTCTGTAGTCTGTTCTGTACTCACAAAACAGCTCCAGCAGATACATGTATAAAAGTGATACYAAAACACTGAGCTAAAAATAAACCTCACTCAAAAAAAGTAGAAATTTTTTTTCTCATCCTGGAAATGTTCATGCTGGTTTGCATTTTCCTGTGTTATTTTCAAAGATTTTCATGGTCTGCTTTACAAATATTGGATTTTTTTTCTGAGATAATTTATCAGTCCATAAAGTTTATGGATAAAAAGACATCAATTTTTTTCTATTGCCTTCAGTATTGTGGAACAGTTAAATAATTCTGTTAAAGTACTATAATGTCTCTTGAGTTTAATAAAAACTCTTAGAAAAAAGAGAAGTCTTCCCTTCTCCAATATTATTTATATTTTTTTTTCCTTCTGTATTTCCAAATGGTATCTTGCACTAATGCGTTTTAATGGCATTCAGTTATGCAGCCCTATTTTAACTCTGCAAATGTCCTCACTTTTGACTCCCCACTATTGGCAGATACCAAGTATTTATGTTGGATAAAACCGATTAAGAAATGCCAGAATTGCCCAAAATCTAATGCCCATGACATTTTTCAAATAGTCTACAACTACTTTTCAACACTGTCAGTGCAATTCTTTTTCCTGTGGAAAATCAAGAGAATAGCTTCTCTTATCCACATTCCGTTCTTCAGTAGAAATGACAGAAGTGAGAAAGAATGCGAGGGTGGAAAGTTTGTATTCACAGGTTAAGTGAACCAACAAAACATTTTGCTTGGAGATTGATGCATGAAGGAATAAACACAYCTCTTGAAGAAAGCAAGAAAGCACTCTCATGGTCAAATTAAAAAGTAGCCTTTTACCCATAAGCTCAATGACCACATTCAGATGTGATTCTGTATTTCCAATAAAAGTTTCAGTATTGTACGAGTGGGTTGTGTGAGAAAGAAACTAAAATCAATTTTCTATCTCTGTGTTTGGAACAAAGACGATCRTAAGTAGGAACGTGGCACTGTCCCTAAAAACCAAACTTTTCTCTCATAAAAATAAAACCAARACTAGGTACTTCCTAAATCCTGTTTTCCGTGGGAAGGTATTTAAAAAGTGGATAAAACTGAGAGGCGATGTCACCTGAAAATTCACCGTTCCCATTCTAATCACAACAGACCAGGCAGGCTGACCCGCCCGATCGATCTATTGATCTCCTTGTCGCTCCGCCCGCAGCGCGCACGGAGGAAGTTTGGGCTGCCGGCGGCCCGTAGTTGCCCTGGCAACCGCAGGAAGCGTCCGCGGCCGCCGCCGTCCCTTGGGCCCGGGGGATCGGGGCCGGTGCTGCCCTGCCCGGAGCTCCGGGAATCCGGCCGTGCCCAGGGACCGGGAGCAGCAGGGAAGGGAAAGGGGTGAGGAGAGCGGGGCGGCTCCCCCGTGCTCCCGCTGGGTCCCTGGATGTGCCCCGGGGCTCGCGAGAGCCGGGCCGGTGGCTCTGTGGGAACTCGCCGGAGCTGCGCTGCCTGAGCCTCTCGGCGGCTTCGTGCTCGARGCTCCTCATCTGCTTCTGCCTCTGCCCCGGCTGCACTCCGGGAGAGYTGGCATTCGGCAGGGTAAGGGAGCAACCTCGCCTTTCAAATCCTACTGACTTCCATTCTGCCTGCCTTAAGTGACTTCTAGAACCCGAACTCCGGGCTGCACTTTTCCGCCTTTGAAAGGTGGTTCTTAAAAGTGTTTTTCCTATTTCTGTTTAAAGGGTCGCTCCTTTGTTTGAAGTCTGTCGTTTGCCAGTAGATGGGTCACTTCTGTATCAAACCTCGTATGTCGCTTGTTTGATTCACGGCTGTGCTTCAGCCTTCTGATCTCTACAAACACATGTGACCCTTCCAGCTCCTCGCTACACAAAAGCTTTCATCTCTGAAGAATAAGACTCCTTGTGAAAAGTAATTTTTCTGCTCAGTGCTACCTCCTTCCTTGCTAATACATTGCRTGTTTTCCCAGATGCATTTTTACGAGACCATTATTATATTTCCTTACTCCTATTTAACTTTGTCCCAAAAGGCTGCCTTTATTCCTGCTTATTRTAACACATTTTATCGTTTACTTTCCCTCATGGTACAACCACTTTTCTGAATTTAGTCATTAGTTAAAAGTTAATGTACCTTAGCACATATCTTGATTACTTGGAAAACAGAAAAAAATTAAATACATCTGAATTACTTCTAAATATTTTTCTGAGAAAAATATTTATGTAGTTATTAACAAGCTGACTGTATTATGAGCAATTGTGCATTTGAAAGGCTGACACTGATAGCACTATTTTGTGATATATGCTGCTACTGTCAAGAACTTAACTGGTGTTTTATTAATATGAGATTGTTTTGATTATTGCTTTTCTGACAGTTAAAAATCCGTCTTCTAACTCTAATGTGATTAGAATTTTGTGGTAATAAACACACATACAAAATCAGTAGATTTCTTTCTAAGTTAATGCTTTCCATTTGACTTCCAATTTACAAACAGAAGAGTTCTCATAAGTGCAATGTAAGTTTTTGTGTATTCTGAAGAGACTTAATTGTTTAATTGTGGTATATTAACTCTTCTAAGAAGACTTCCAGTAGACACAGGCAACATTCTGGAAATGGTAGGAAAGAGAAAACAAGATGTGCATTAGATGATCTAATTTGAATCACTAGTTTTGATTAAATCACCAGTCAAGAAGTATTGATTTAAACTTTCAATTTTAATTTTGCTTTGCATTTTAGCTAATTTGCTAATCATTGTTATGTGTGGTTTCACAACATTCAGTAAAACTTAGAACATTTAATTCTTTCCACAAGTCATAAAGACAGCGTATCTACACACGTGCTGGCACCTTATCACTTACCAGAAACAGAAGCAATCCTAAAGATTTCATAATGTAGACGATGACAAAAGTATCTGRCTGGAAATCCTGTTTGGAGGGAACAGTTAGAATAGCCAAGCTAAACAAGAATTGCATGTGGAAGGGTCTGGCAGAGATTGGGGCAGGTGTCTGATAGAACTGAGGGCAAGAAAGTGGCCTGGCATGAAAATCTGTCTCTCTAGTTCATCCTGATCTCAGTATWTGGCATTGAATTATGTTTTTAATGAAAACAGGTGTCATGAAGGGTGATGGCTGGATAGCAAGCACTCTGCTCATCCCTAAGGCAATGTTTGTTTCTGTGTGTGGCTTCCTATTATTTTTTTCATCTCCATAAGTGTAATTTCTTTTTCACTTTAGGAATCTAATTTCTTATTTATTAATTTGGGGGTTTTTTCCATGCAGAATACACCACAGCAAAAATTTGTGAACATTAATAAGATACATATCTAACATTTTCASTCTTTATAATTGTGTTAATATTTGACATCTTGTCATCTCCCAAAATAATTTGTATTTGTTATAGTATCAGACTAGGTACACTTTAACTCAATTACATACATATATAGTGACGTGTAGCTAGTGCATTGACTTATAGAAGATGAGAGTATTTAAATCAGTATTTGAGGATGTACACAAAGTTATTTTTGCACTCTTCTTAAAAAAGCCCTTTATTCTTCTTACTGGAATTGGAATTTCTGTGTTCTTTGCTGCCTTACATTTCTGTTCTCATCTCTTATTGATTGTGGTTTGGGTTTTGTGTGCTGAATGTACTTGTTTCATTCCTTCATCCTGGACATTCCTCAAATTGTTGCTTTCTTCTGATGTAACTGTACCCAACCCTATTTGACTCTAAGGTCTTCTGTGGAAGACCTTTTATACTGCTTGTAGTAGGATTTCTCTAGAGTAGGTTACTCTAAAAGCAGACTGTATCTAATTCACTTTTGTCGCAGGTCTCAACACAAGTAAAGAGGAGCAGGTTAAGAAACATTAGATGTGCATTTAAAAGATGGAATAACAAGACTATTACAATTATCCCATGCACTGTGTACAATATATGAGAATAAGCATTTGTTTCCTAGTGCACTTTTTCAGATTTACACGGTTGTTTATTCCTGTCAGTCGTTAGGCCTGGGGATTCTAACCCTTGATACTYTGAYGATAGRAATGAAAATTATTTTATGTTTTTAATTTCTTTTTGTAGGWAGCAATGGTCTAAGAATGTCATCAGGCATCCAAGTAAAGACAAAGACTGCAGCACAGAAAAGCAAGGCATATTCTCCAGAACTACAGTCAAAGCCTAGTGATAAGCTGAATCCCAAAACTATTGATCCGGTATGTATAGGTGCTGGTGGTTTTGTTTGGTTAATATYCATCCATGTGGGGTTTGAAGAATTTTCCTTACTTTATGAAATGGTATGCAGAACATGCTTCTGGTCCTGTTTTTTAAACTGAAATTAAACTTCTGTTGTTAATCATACATTCCTGATCTTCTAAGCTCAAATGCCTGAAGTGTAACATTGTGTGTTACATTTTATAAAAATGTTCTTTGCTACATTGTGGCTTGGATGGTAACTGTTGTTTYCTATGTACTATTGCTCTAAAAAGTGATTTGGAGCTAAGAGYTAAAAAGTGTTGGGKTTTTTKTTTTTTTYTMATASTTCTAAACTTTAGCACCTGCTGCTTTAGAGGAACTTACTTCAGTTATGCAATCCAAGAATGAGGTGGCATGTTGAAGGTATTCAAGGCTTCATAAAATCTGGCAAATTARTTGCTGGTGAGCATTATTTGAAACTCACTGTGAATCTGTAATGCCTCAGGAAAAATTTGTGCTCTTGGGAGATTAGTAATGAAAGGAGTGGTTTACTTCATGGAATTCACGTGCCTGGACAACTGGCATTGAATGCATGAATTATAAATCACCACTGGGCCATATAATTTGACAACTAGTAATGTCACAGGCTTTTTGGAAAGTGAATTAAATGCAGGAGTACTTTGGTGATAAACAGAGGCTGAATGCTTTCATGTGGGCATTCTTTTTTAACTTGAAATCTGTTTGCAAATAGCACCATGACTGAAATTAAGCCATGAAGTCATTCAAATCATGAACACAATTCTACTAATCTTAATATAGGTTCAAACACTCAAAAGATAAAAATTGACATTTCATGGTATTTCCTTCTGAATGCTTTGGAAAGGTGTATAATCTAGGAAGCAGCATTGAATGATTGTATTGATAAATAATATAATAGTTCATATGCATAAGAATCATGTATATGATAAAAAACAAATTTGTGCTGCTTTTCCTTGGATGAAGCTCCTAGTTTCCTTCTCCATTGAGTCCTTTCTAAATTCTCACCCAATATGAACCTTCCAGTGCCTTCACACCATCTTGCCTGCTATTTGGTGTTTCTCCCACATGTTGTCACCATGTACTTTTGTCTATACTCAGATCAAGGTGGAATTGCACTAAATCTGCTTTCTGCATGTTACCAATAAATATAACAACAAGAGGTTCAGGGAAATGGGATCTCCTCGATCTCCTAAAGAGAGAACCTGTAAGACTTTAGTGTCAACATCGGCAAGAAAAAATAGAAAAATAAGGTTATTCTATCGGGAGACTACTGATTCCACATTTTTATTCATTTCAACAGCTCTCTAGCCAGATGAGTCTTAAAAGCAGTGTTCAGATAAGTGTATCACTTACATGTTTTCTACCCCATAGCTGCAGTTCTCTTTTTGATTTGTTTTAGAATCATATGACTAAGTACAATTTTTGTAAAACTGCAGTTTTAACCTATTCATAATAGCTATAAAACATTACTGTTATGAATAAATAATGGATTTGGTTTTTTTTTTTTTCTGTCCTCACAGTTTGGTGCTCATTCTCAACAACCATCTGCATTTGCTGCTACATATGCTAGAGGTGGCATTCCATGCAGGTGTGTTGGGTTTGTTTTTATTTTTACTAAATATATTATGAAATACATCTCTTCATGTTTCATCTTTTATTTAGATTGTTTAATTCCATAAATTTCTGGGAAAATTTATAACACTTAACTCTTCTCAGAGCAGAAGGCAATTTTCCATGCCTTTGTCTTCTTCTGGTTCTCTTTTTATGCTGTATTAATAACAAAGCCATATTTTTAATGAATAGTTAAATATGTGCACACTTGGTTTCCTAAAACACTTTCACAAATTATTTCTTCAAGCAATTGTGTTTACTTTTGCCTASTGACAAAAATAATAAAACTGGGCCKTTCACAGYCTTTTTTATCTGAAGTAAGTRGTATGACAACATTTTGYTGAATATTTTAATTCTGTAGTTGTCAGGAATATAAAATATTAACTACTTGTAAGTAATAGTTTAGGGTATTTTAAATTACTTTTCTGTTATATATTTGCCTAGACAATAAATATTCTAGTGTTCATACAGATGCAGAATCACTTTACAAAAATATAAGTCATTATTGATAAAATGTACATGTAATATACTTGTATAAAATAATCATTAATACATAGCCTTTATAGGTTTCTTAGGAGTAAATCATGATATGATTTTCTTTCAGTTTCAACTAATTTCCCTTACCAATTGCTATTTGAGGAAAATGTTTCCTGATAGTTGCCAAAGTAAGCAACTTTGCAAAAAGAGTATCTTCTGGTTTGGCATAACTTTTTTTTTCTGATTTCTATATGAGTTTGAAAACTTCTGTATTTAGGGAATTTATTATATAAATACCATAGTTGGACTTAGTGACCCCAGCGATCTTGCCAACTTAGTTGATTTTGTGTTCCTATGGTTTCACTAAGGAGAGCAGTATGTATTGAGATTGTGTATATAAYGTAGTAATACAGCATTGGTGATACWTCTAAAGYAAGCAGTGTCAGCAATAAATTATGTCTTATATGTTAATTTCTTAAAACTTTATTCTTTATATAGGTTAGTGCATGGATCAGTAAAGCACAAACTGCAGTGGGAGTGCCTTCCTGAAACTATTCCCTTTGATCCTCTCCTTATAACATTGGTAGAGGTAAACTCAATTTCTTGCAACATTAAGCATACAACCATTTTCTAATTGCAAATGTAATTTTTTAACAATCTAAGCTAGCTAATTTTGGCTCAGCTACTTGGGAAATATAAAAAAAAATCCAGTTGTGAGGGTATTGTATGAATAAAAGTGGTCAAGATCATTGCTGTTTGTAGTTCTTTAGTTAGAGCATTCTGGGAGAACCAGGTAGAGCTGTTTAATCTTCAAGATACTGATCATATGCAAGACTGCATCTGAGATTTCCAATTTTTGAATGAAATACTTCAATCCATTTGTGGTTTTGCAGATTCTTTTGTAAACCAAATTGTTTTGCTTATTTTTGTATATAAAGCCTACCTATTGAAATAAGAGTGCTCTCCTCAATAGACCAAACTAGACTATTTACAGTAGAASTAGGATCCTGTAAATAAGTGGAAGAAATACTATGTATTATGTCGAGGCTTCTGTTTTCCCACAACCATCTGTGACATTTATCACCAAGTATGTTTCAGATGTCTAAATAAACTCAAAAGCCAATGTCACAGATAGAATGAAGTGCATATACTGAGGTGGCTTATTTTCTTTTTTTATTTTTTTTCTTTTATTTTTCCTTTTCTTTCTGTTTTCCTTTTTATTTTCTTTGTTTCTTTTTTCCCCTTTTTTTTTTTTTTTTTTTTTTTTTTTTTTTTTTTTTTTTTTTAAAGATTAAAATAACTGTCAGCTCCTTAAGTAACATAAAGCTCCTATTATGGTAAGAAAATAAGCTTCAGCTACAGGGCTTTAAATCTTTGAGTTTTGCCAGTCAGGCCTTCACAGCAGTTCATCTTTGTATTATCTACAATCTAAGATTTTAGTATTGCATAGAGGGGTTTATGGTGTGGGGTGTCTTTCCTTCCATAGTATACCTTCTATTCTTTTTTTCCTTCAGAGTATAAAACCTCTTTAGAAACACAGCCTATTCTAGTTCGTGGTCTTGTTGAAAAAACAACTTGGATTGTTAGATTAGAGGTTAGATTAAAGGTACTGAAATTCAAATATTGATTGAATTGGCAGTAATCATAATGTGAGTTTTAATGTCTAATGTTCTAAAAGAAAAATTAATTAGAATATTCTGTGAGCAGTGTTGTACTCCGTGGCTCCACATGGTGGAGATAGTGTACTTTATGTTTTGAACTGATCTGACAAAATCTAAACATTATCTTGCTGCTATGTGGAACTTTTGAAATGTGTTTTTGTTTAAAAAAGGCTTATTATTAAGAAAATCATGTTTTGCATTTGCAACAGGGACTAAGAGAGACAAGACATCCCTATACTTTTGTTTCAAAGGAGGGTTTTAAAGAATTACTTCTGGTTGAAGGTGCTGCTGAAAAAGCAATTCCCCTGTTGCCTCGTCTAGTTCCAGTCTTAAAAACTACATTGGTATGTCTTGTGCCTCATGCAGAGATTTTAATGGGTTTGATTTTTTTTTCTTCTGCTGGTGAGGTCTACACGGRTAATATTAATGTGATAAATCTATTGCAAAGGATTTGGTTTCAGGTTAGGAATAGTTTCTCTTTCTGTTGTTAACCCTGCCTTGGTTTATTAGCCAAGTATGTTTTTGTATAAAAATTCAGATGAGCAACTCCTTGTATAGCTATATGACAGTAGCTATGAGAAAATGTTATGGAACTGTTTTATTAAAGGTTTTAATATAATCAGTAATATATATATTTGTATATGTGGTATTTTTATATGTCCATGCAATCAGATGCAAAAAATAAAAAATAGATGAAGTAAAACAGATATGAAGGAATAAATACTTATCTATTACATGTGACAATTCAAAACATGTGACAAAGGCAAAACAGAATCACAGAATAAGGTGAGTTGGAAGGGACCACAAGGATTATKRAGTCCAACTCCCAGCCCTGCACAGCACCATATCCAGAATATGTCAGTCAGGAAAAGGGAAGAATACAYTTAAAGTGTTAGGGGTCATATTCTTAATTTTTAAAATGTTTTTAACTCTTCTATGCCATCAGAAAATAAAGTGAGGCATTGGTTTCTGGTTATCACTTTCATCTTTTTCGTATCTTTGAGAGTCCTTTTCTGGTTCAGCAAGCAGGTGTCCTTTAATCTCGCTGTGCTKCAGTTCTGATTTAACAGGGATGGCTTGAAGTTTGAAAATTAACTGTGATCTCAAATCAGAGGTGTAACAGTGGTTCAGAATTATGTGTYATCAGTATTTTTCATTTAGTTTGAAGACAAAATTAGAAAAAATATTTTTGCTGTTCTTCCCATTACTGTTACTCATCTGATATTTTTTGTTGCACTGTTTTGGTATTAAGTCTATGAAGCAGTCAATGATTTCTGAAATCATTAAAAATAAAATGTTCAGGACCCAGATGCTGGAGAGGAAAAATAATTATTTAAATAAACTTAAAATTTAGTGTGAGAYCAAAATAAATTGTTATGAGTCTACTTCTCATAAAGGAAAAGTAAGATARCTATTAGAGAAGTCAGGTATAGAAGAACCTTTCCATGGGAGAAATAAAGATGTCAAAGAGCTATAGAAGTAGATAAGAGCCTGATAATTTCTGGCAGGTGACAAAAGTATAATTAGCAGAGGACTAAACTAATTGAGGCAGAAAGTCATTGGTTCCTCTGTTTCTCCAACAAAGAAAGTTATCATTATGAATTACATAGCAATTACTCAGAATTCAATACATTTGTAACTAAAATGGTATCTCAATTTCAGCATGTCAGGATATGAAAGGTTATTTCTCATATGCTGTGAAATACTGAAATTGTCAGTGTAACAAGCTGTTCTGCATGCCAATTTTTTTTTATTTCATCAGTAGTAAATTATTAGTTTCCTGCTCTCAGAAGAAATCAAGAGTTTTGCTGGTATTTCATGGATGCTTTTGTTTTCCACTTCAAAAATATACTCTTTCTTTAACTATGGCCTCTAGAGACTTAGATTCAGTCACATTGTACTTCTATTTCTAAACTTGTATCATAGCAATTAGCAATTGCACTGTAGTTTTAATGTTTAAAACTACTCCATACAATCATAATGCAGAACTGCAGTTTAGAAAAACTTTTGTGTTTGTGTGAATATTACTTCTTTCTTCTTCTTTTTCTTCTGTTTTTTCTTTCTTCTGCTTCCAAAGGCCCATGCAGATGATGAAGTGTTTGATAGGGGATTGGATGCTTTAGTACAACTGAGTGCTGTTGTTGGCCCTTCTCTTAATGATCATCTTAAGTTTCTACTCACAAATGTAAGTTTTTCATGCTGAAATAAAAAATCATTTGTATTTTTCATAGTACTCTGGTTGAGATGTTTACTATAATATCTGCACAGATACAGTGGAGGACTCAGCAGTTCCATGAAAAGCATTATTTCGTATTGTCAGTCTCCTGTGTGAGTCTTTCATTCTTTTATACCATGGTGACTTAYAAAGTTCTAGCAAGGTCCAAAAACGATTTTCAATGTAAACTGGACAATAATGGAAGTCTTGCCTCTACTATTTAAGAAAATATCCATATGCTTTGTTTTGGAGGAAAATTTATTGCCAAATGAGTTTTTAAGTCTGAATATTTAAAAAAAAAAAACAAACCATGAATGTTTCAATACATTAAGAGAAGCAAATATTCCCACTTCTTTCAGGTGAGAATTCTGCACAAGGAAGTTTTCATGAAATAAGCTTTGAGTGGGATTATGAAAAGTATTTTTATACCATGTCCTTCTGAGTACATCCTTCCTCTGTCAGTCAGGTTTTTCATGGTTTCGTTTACCTGCTTGCAAAGTGCACTTTTACAGCAAAATAATAGGATCTTTTTTGACGTCCAATACAGAAGAGAAAAATTACAGCAGATTTTTTWAAAATATTTCACAATAAATCTCTTTCAATGCACATGAAAAATCTRTTAACTTTTCACGGGGATAATTCTTTAAGAATGACTTTTTTTAAGGTTGATACTTCTTCCAAATTTGTTTACGAAAAGAAAAAGAAATATTTTTGTGGGCTAAAAGATCAGTTTTCTTTGAGTTTAAATTTCTCTTTAGTTAACTTTTTATTCCATTTGCCTGTATTGAGTTCCATACTTTGACATCAGTTGTAAGTTAACAAAATAATGTTTCTTTGTGGCTTCAATTTTCCAAAGATAAGATGAAAGAAAGTAACTAAATGGATTATTATTGGCTCTTTGCATGCATTGTACTATTGCATGCAACAAACCTTTTTCTTTTGCTTTTCCAATAGCTTTTAAGGAGATTGATGGACAAGAAATTTAGAGAAAAAGTTACTGTTGCTTTACAAAAGTTGGAGCAATATGGTGGAAAGGTGAGTTGATTATTCAGCAATCTGCAATTTTGAATATAATTTTGCCAAAACAACTTTAATCTCTGATTTTGTTGCCTTGTTCTTGCTTCAGTATGGTTGGGATATGTGTTTTGTGTTCCATTTTCTGAGATGAAATATGTTTCTCAACAAGATTTACCCTTGCAAAAATTTAATTTTTGCTGTTATTGATGATGTCTGCCTGTTCCCACTGATAGCTTATTGTCTAGGTCATTTACTGAGGGACTCTGACACTCAGATAACCCTGGTTAACCCAGAGTTTGGATCTGCAATGGCTATAAATCAAAAACAAGCTKTAATTAATAAATGGCAGAAGTTTCTTCTGTTTAACATTCTTTTGCCAAATACTGTGCTATACATTGTGCACAAAGGAGAAGAGGAGAAAAAGTGAGCAGTACTGGCTTGGATGTTCATCTGGAAGAGAAAATATTTGCTTTCTTGACTCTATTAGCACTTACATGTGTTATATTAAATGGTTATTCATTAAGAATAGGAATAACCTGAAGAAAAGGGACCCTACATACAGMTCTACCAGTACTGAACTTGTGTGCTTGAATCAGTAGGTGCCCAAATAATCAGTAGATGCCTCTTCATTTTTGTGTGTGTGCTCATGCAGTAGCAGTGTTTGTATTACAGAGTTGAAAAACATTATAAAAAATGAAGGAGGATGAGATTTTTTTTTATTTATATGAAGTAAGACAAGAAAAGGAAAATTGTCTAATCTTAATGTTCTGAAAATTCAGGTCTAGATAATATAATTAAACCAGTAAATTGTTAACCTCTAATTCTTCTGTTAGTCCTCTGATTTCTTGCAGCCTTGCCTGTTTTGTGAGTTTTTCTGCATGCCTTTTAAAAATACTTTAATAAGGTAAAGCAAAAAAACCTGTAAACAAACTCCGAAATTGTGATTTCAAGCAATATTATATAATTCAACCAATGAATTTATCACATTTATTTTCTTAATTGGTTATAAAGCATATGATTCTTACTTTTGTTGGACGTCCCTTTCAGAACATCACTCCTCTATTTAAAAATCATTATTTCATATCAATATTTATGCCCACTTTTAGGTGTGAGTTTACATGTCTCTTCTTTTGGATGTTTACTCTCCAGCATTAGTTGTCGCAATGGTGCATTTTCTCAATTTATTATATTCAGCCCTTTGACAGTAAATTCCTCAGCAAATAATAACTTTTTAATTTTCTACCGTTTTACAATAGCAAAAATAACTAAGTAAAAGTTGTGAATTAGGCAGTTTGTAGAGACTRTATGAGTACTGTGACATGTAGTGCTAGTGCCCCTTATTTTGTTTGAATTTGTTTTGTTTTCTTCAACAGGGAACTGTGGCTATCATCAAATCTAAAATTCCAACCTATAGTTCTATCTACTCTTGAACAAGAAAAMAGTAGTGATTTGTACTGTAAGGTGAAGTTTGGAAAGAAACTGTCTGTAAATATCACTGACACTTATTTGGGGTATGATACATTCCTTAAAATAATAAGAATTCTTCAGTATGATGGAGACCAGGAGTCTTATCAGTTTGTGAATATGTAATTTTTGAAGACTTTTCTTTGTATATTTGCATATGCATTGTGCTTACAATGACATTGATTAATATGCTGTTATTTCAAATGCAGAGTAAGTATTGATTTTTATTTTGTTGTAAATTACAATTTCATTAAATATATATACAGTACTTAATATGTTTTGTCTATTTGTGTGATGCAAAATAATTTGGATTAGTCAAATGGTGATTAACTTGGGGCTAAATTGCATATATATAGCTACTTTTCAAATATATAACTTATTTTGTGACATGACATGGATGGATGCATTCAGGTTCATCGGGACTAGGTTAGACATAGAACTAGGAGCCCTCACAGACTTCTTCAGAGTCAGCTTTTGGAGGTGTGAAACTGAGYACAGCAAACAGGCAGCATATGGTGCAAAGCTGAACTTGCTCAGTGCTTTSTCAGCATGCTGAGAGCCTGCAGAGGCTCTGGGGAATACAATGCAGAGGCATCAGGTTGCTCCACAGAGCCACAGCCTARGTTTTGTTTAGCTCCTGTTAACTTTGAGCTACTGAATGGGAGCTGCATGTAGGAGGCAGATTTGGAGTACTTACACTGTGCTCTCTGTGCACTGAGTTCAGTGTCACAGATCTCTTTGGGACTTGCTTATGAATTCAGGTCCAGACAAGTTAAAAAACTTCTGAACATGGAAGCTATAAAAAAATATGAGTTAGAAACAACAAAAAGATTGCACAAGCCAGCTTACCTGGCTGTCAAGCTTTGTAGGATACATTTTTGCATTAATGTATTTGAACTTGATTGCAAAATAATTCCTAACTGGTTCTTGTAATAAATACTGTTCAGGGTCATGTTGCATTTAAGTACAGTTAACTGAAGTAACAAAATTTGCACAGACATTTTTCCTTGAGTAAAATTCAATTCTAGCATTTAAAGTCATTAGAAAGGATGTTTTTTTTGTCATAAGAAGATGCTGATGCATAGAGTATTAATAAAAGTCTGTCATGTGGAAGCAATTTCAGAAGTGTTTTTAAAAATTACCACAGCCTGACTAAAATTAATTTCAAGACTGTTCTCTGCTGAGATCAGAACGGTGCTAGGTCAAGATAAATTTATTTATGCTTTAAAAAAGTAAATTGTATTTCTTCAATAAGCATTTTTGCCAGCAAATATTTAACAACTCAAAAAATTGATCATGGTCTTTTTTTTCTTCATGTTTACTTTATTTTTTTTTTTACAAAATGTGCACATTTAGTTTACACAAACACGCTACAGCAGATTTCAGGTGTACATGTATTGTACTACTCTTATCCTACACTGGTGATAGCAGAGCAGCCTTCAACATGCCTCAAAACATCCCATCTSTACACCAGAATAGATACCTGATTTATTTTTACAAAAGAATACTTGTAACCTTCTTTCTACTTCATTAATCCCCTTTCACATTTTCTGCAGCAATGTCAATGAAAGTTGGCCTATTTCTGATAGCATTTCACCTATTTTGAAGTATTGGCGTAGACTCTGTGGACAATATATCTTAAAAATTATATGGATGGAGGGGCAGTGTTATGTTTTAGGTGCMTACTTTTTTAGAAGAATCTTTCTAGATTCAGAATTAAGTAGCTCCAATCTTAATGAAGAAATGATCTTAAAAAATGTAATGCATTTATCACATATAGATGATATATAGCTAAAGTTTTCACTGTTTTTCTGGTTCTGTCTCATAGTTAAAGGTATTACAAAAAGCTGAAATGGATGTTAGCCTCTAGCAATCATTATTAGTAGATGTTACTACGTAGTGATGTTCATTCTCAGCACTAAGGTCGAGTGGCAGTTTCAAAAGTTCATGCCTTTTTCTTCATTAAAGGCAGAAAGATATTCTTAGGAAAGCAGTGTTAGGATCCAGTTAACATTTCTTCATGAAAAATGGAAGTCAAAAGATCCRCAATTTTAGGCAAAGAGTTTTGCAGACACATCCAAGAAGAATTAGAAATACAGTATGTAGGCCTCCTGATATTCATATAATGATAAATTAGGTGCAGATTTATTAGGTGAGATGCATAGAAGGTTAGTCATATTTTTTAGGGAATGAGAATACCTATAAGCAATTTCTTTTTTTTTTTTTCCTTTAACAGTTCTTGCTGTCAAGTTATCTGTTTAGTTACATTTGGGTTTTGGGGGTTTTTTTCTGAAGAGAAAAGCAAGTCAAAGTTGGAAGGCAATTGTAGCAAGGTGTGCATTGCACATTGATTATATAATTTTAACTCAAAATATTATTAAAAAATGAGGACTACAGCATAGAAATATGAAGAGAAAATAAATTGTAATGCCTCTTTATAAATTAGAAGCTAGAGATTTAAGAAATACACTTCAACACCTCGAGTGTAATCCAGTACAAATGAGTAGCAAAACTAAGAGTATTTATTTCATCTCTTTGTGGTTGTATCTTTTTTAACTAGGGGTTGGAATGATAATAAAGGTACATAATGTCAGTTCTATTTTGTTTGTGTTTGTAGTAAGAACCTGATTTTTTGGTACAATCCTGTTAACTAGGTAGCCACTGCTGAAGAGCTAAGTTGTATATTTTTTGTTGGGAAGAGTTTATAATAAAAAATYTACTTGCATAATACATGTCTCAGTGTAAAGCTGAGTAACTTTATTTATGATAAAATGGGAAATCAATTTTTTTAGATAATGTTGCAGAATAGGTCATATTTGTCCATTAGTTGTAGACCTAATGTCTTCATTAAATCACATTTTCAAAGAGCTGCATGGATCGCATTATATTCTCATCCTGTAAAAAAAGACAACACAAAACCAAAAATCACACACCATTACAAATGGAGTTGGCCAATACCTATAGTGAAATGTGGTAGAACATTTTAGTTAATTACAACATTTTTTTTCAGCTTGTTTGGAGAAATGGTTAGCAGAAAAATGCTTTTAATAGATCCATGCTTAAATGAGTTTTTCTGTATATTAATGAAACCAAAACTACTCTGTCAAGAATACAGTAGCAGATTAGGAAAATTAAATTGCAACATTTCAGAGKTTAGCAGTTTATATTCAGGATAACAGAATACACTTAGACGGTAAATAATCATGTAATAGTTGTATCAAGTGTGAACCTGTACATGTAATTGCTAGTCCTGTGCATAGTATAAAGGAGCCTTTTTGCCATCCTACGACTTCTGCTGCACAGTTAGGAATGACTCTCAGTAAAACAGACTGCAGTGTGCACCTTTGCATGAGCCAAAGTCAGTCAGTTTGATGAGTATCACCACAACACTCGTCAGCTCTTTGGTTCAGGTTTTCTGTGTGTTGACACTGAAAGACTGCTTCTCAATGCTACTTCTGCTTTCTGATTGCCTTGCAATTTTTTTACAAAATATTCATCTTTCAAGTTCTGTATTACACTGAATCATTATTCTGTACCCCAGATTCTATCAGTAAATAACTCTCAGCATAGCACTCAGAAAAAAAAATTTTTCCTTATATGCTTTACCTTTCGGTGTGTACTTGCAGTAGCCCATATTTGTTGGCATTTCTGGATCAACAGTTGTTTGCAAGACAATATATATACACAATACAAGAGTTTATTATATCCTTATTTAGCATTTGCTGGTATTCACTGTAATGATCCTACCCTTTAGTACTTTCTTCAGAGATAATATAGCCATCTTTTGTGAGTAAAAAGACTGAATTATAGATAATTTTGATGTTTCATGAAAGATGTGCATCAAAAACCTACTTCTTAGAAGTTATCTCAATAATGTTCTCCACTATTGATAAGTATGTGAGGCTGCTGTACATTAATATTCCAGTAACACATGTTCAGTATCAATTTCCAGTTAAATTATTCACTGTTCAGTCTAGTGGGTGATTTGCTTTGTAGAAAATTACAAGTCTGAGTAATTACCTTAATTTATGTTATGAAACAGGCTCAGTGGGGTTTTTATCTTTGATTCCTTATGTCATCTCAAGTGATGCTGCTGTAAGGAATGATCTGCACGCTATTTTGTACAATGAAATAACTTATRGAAGCAATGATATGTAATTAAAAAAATATTCTATATAGGCTAATTCTTAAAAAGTTTGTATAGTAAAGCTACTATATTAAATTACTGAAAGTTAAATAACTTTTCTCACTRTGTTGCTTTGAAATATCAATAAACTAGTGAAGGTCACTGATGTAAAGTTAAAGTTTGGTTTCAATAATTTTACATTTAATGAACACAAATGTTTTTATATCTACATTGGCAACAAAGCTCAGCAAACGTGCAAAGCAAACAATAGGCTCTGAACTTGCAAAGTATTTTGACACTACCTTCCAAWTTTATTATATATGTATTATTATGAATCAAACTGGTAGTTTTCTAAAACCAACTCCATATTTCTGAGGTCAGCTGTTTCTTTACAGAAGACTTCCAATGCCACTCTCTTAGTCATTCAAATGGGAAGAGTCTTCACAAGAAYGTATAGGCTTGCCATAATATTTAGAACATGATGAGTTTTAATAGCATTTTTTCCCATCTTTAAAAAAAAAACAAAACCAAAAAAAACTCAAGATGCTTGCATTGGAATTCTTTGGCAAGTGTATCTTTTTCATGTGCCTCTATTTTCAGTACATTTTTCTACACAGATTTTTGTATTAGATTGGCTAAATGATTTCTAACTGAAGACAAACGGAGGTGTTAGTGTAAATGAAACATTGTTCATTTGAAGCTCAAACCTGGATGAATGAACTTTGGCAGATCTGACCTACCTTTGAGCCAGTTTTTTTTTAGGTTTGAAATGGTTTCTTTGCTGKTTTTGGGCTAGCCCAGACCATCAGCACTGTCTATGGGAAGGGTTRCTCCTGCAGAAAACAACTGTGCCAGCAGCCTTTTTCTCACTATCAGAAGGACCTGTAAGTCACTCACTCTGAGATAAGTAGCATGATGACAATGTTATGTCCATCAAGCAGCAGTTTAGAAAGCACCTGTCTCACATGTATTCTGAATACTTAGAACAGGTTAATAAATCTAACAGACTTGAGAAACTGAATGGAAGTGGATAAGAAGAGCAGGCAATTCCTTACTAAGGGTATTTTCTTTGTACATGAATCACTCAGCCCATCACCATAATTGCTGTCATGTGCAGATTAATGTGTCATTTAACTTCCGGAGTGCTGCAGACCTCAGCTGGGAAATGAATCTCATCTTTGTTTCTGATGATCACACAGCATTAGCAGAGCAAATGCCTTTCATTGGTGTTGAACAAGACTGACAATCTGGAGCCACAGTCAGTGCAACAGAGCACTGCAGACAGATGAGACACTACCTAGTGCCCGTTGCTAAGGATACCCAGAACAGCCTGTTAGCAGAGCTCTTGGCTGTCTTTTATCCCCCAAATCATGGGATTAAAATCAAACAAAGAATCACTTACTAAGTTGCTGCGCTTGTAAGAGCAACCCCAATGAATAGCTACAGATACATATAAAAACAGACTGCTTCTAGAGCATTTTTGAGCATTTAGATCTTTATTCCAAATTCAAAAAACTGTCACTCACTAAGTGCATTTATCTTGATAGCCTTGCTCTCTTCATTACTCTCTTCTTGATGTAGATGATAAAAATCAATAAGCACAGGTTATATTGCTGACCTTTAAGTAAGTGAGTGATTTAAGTTAATCACTCTGCTAGACGTACCAGTAGACCACTACCATGACTTCCTATATTTCTCACTACGACCAATAATGTTACATGCCATATCAATGTACATAATGTAATCAGGCATATCATATTATCATACTCACTATGTCTAACGTGATGCTTCACTCTACACAACAACCTTGGTTCTTGGGGTGTCCTGTGTAGAGCCAGGARTTGGACTTGATGATCCTGATAGGTCCCTTCCAACTCAGCATAATCTATAATTCTATGAAACTCTTATCAAGCCAAAGGCTAGTCATCCTTACTTTATATTCTATCATGTTTATTTTTCTTGCCACTTTTAACTGTCAAAATAACAGGTTTTYCTTAAATCTATGAAAATGCAACTTGTCTTTTCTCATATCATCTCCTGGTCTGAGAACAAGCTGGTTTCTGAAGAGCAGAGGAGTGAAAACAGGCTGTAACTCCTGCTTCAGAAGTTTATTCTCCATCCTGGCTGTAGAGGCCAGGAGCTGCTTTCAACAGTTTAAATTATTAAACACCTGAGTAGTGTAAATAATTGTGGCTGATAATCACAATCATTCTCACTCTTGCCTTGAGAAAACTTGTCAATTGTTAACCCTTGCCATCCAACACTTTGCAAGCCCCTTGCACTCTCTTTTTATACAGCCTCATGGCTTTTAAGCACAACACCACTCACTGAGAAACTCACTCAGTTTATCACAGATGATAAATTTTCAGGCAGTATTATTGCCATGATTATATGTCAGTTGTGACAGGACTGTGCCCCAGCATGAGCAGGAGATAGAAATATTTAGCTGAATGTGAAGAAATCTTTTTCCATCAAGTGCAAACAGTACACTGTTAAAGAGAGAAAGGATATTGGCACAGTTGTCTAATAAGCAGTGACAGCTTGTATGCAGATTCAGGTCACAAATTTATTTACACTGCTCAGTATTTTTGTGTAATGGATCTTCCTTGGGAAAACAGTGTCTTTGGTATTAGGATCACCCTCACTGACACTCCAGAAGTCTCTGTAGAGCTATGATAGCATTAGCCAACAGATACACATTCAGTACTTATCATTCAATACTTACTTTCTGGCAGCTCTCAATGAATTCATCTATGGTAACTACTCCATCTTTGTTTTTGTCCATTTTCTGAAAAAAAAAAAAAAAAATAGAATTTATGGGAATGGGTTTTTTTGTGGTCAGGCTTTGGTAGCAGCCGGGCTATAGGAGTGGCTTCTGTGAGAAGCTGCCAGAAGCTTCTCCCATGTGCAGCAGAGCCAATGCCAGCTGGCTCCAGGATGGATCTGCTGCTGGCCAAGGCTGAGCCCAGCAGGAACGATACCCTCCTGAACCATTCATTATATTTCCCCCCCCCTGTCCAGTTGAGGTGGGAATTGGAGAGAGGCTTTGGTGGGTGTCAGGCATCCAGGGTCAACCCACTACAGTGTATTTCTCCTCAATTCCTATGCAAAAAAAGTCCTTTTCATTATTCATTTCACTTATACGTCAGCCTAGGAACAACCAGTCCAAAAGTCATAGTAACTGATACATTGGAAAATACTTAAAGAGCTTGTTGTTGAAAAAAAACAGGGTGTGGTGAGTAGACCTGAGAAACTTGGGATGGACCCACAGAGAATAAAAAGGATTACATAATTAGAAGGATATACAGAACTGTTATAACAATGAAAATCTTTCTTTAACTCCTCAGAGCAGTCTTTTTGGCTTCTGTGTTACCCAACCTACCTGAAAAAATGTTTCCACATGTTGTCTAGGTGCATCTTCCTTGAGAACAGGATAGGTGCATTTCCCCATCATATCATATATTGCTTTCATGATATCAAGCATTTCCTGAAGAGCAAAAAAAAAAAAAAAAAGTTTCTGCAATGTAATGTGCATTTTAGATACTGCTTTAACTCAGAACACATAAATAATTTTTGGATTTGCATTTTAGAATAAAAAATTGAAATTTTCCCTTTTTTTGACTGAACAGCTGAAAGAAGGAACTACTTAATTCCTAGAAGTTCTAGCATCTGATTTCAGTTTTCATGGATGTATGATTTCAATTTCAAATGATTTGTGCAAGTTCATGGATTGTAGGAATAATGTCTTATGAATAAAAAACTAAAAAGGAAAATGAGTTCTGTAACTGCAAGTGAATGGTCAAAGCACATCAGCTTCTTATAACTGATTTTCCCTAGAGAAAATAGACAATCCATGCACATCTGCACTTACGCAGAGTCCTCCTTTTATATCAATAGCTTTGAATTTTCTTAGGCATGGCTTGTGAAAATATAAAGAATAATTATTAAAAAAAAGTCATTTTCAGTATGCTGAGAAATTATTCTATGGATTACTTTTTTATAATGATCATGAAGTGTTTTCTAAAAGTGCAAAATTGTRAGTGTAGTTTATATATTTGCATTAACCACACTTTAGAAAAACTCTATATATTTTGATGAATGCACTCATTTGGTCCCACTATAATTAAAGTATGTGTTTGAATTCTTGCTGAATAAAAGATGTAGGAATCTTTCTTTATAAATTCTGTTTCAAGCAAAAATTTTTCAAAGCAGATTCATAAAATAAGTAACAATTGCCCACGTACTTGATTTCTTTTTGTCCAAATATCCTACCAATCTATTCTAGGGACTGTATGTGCAAGCCAACCATTTCTGTACCTGAAGAATTCTGAACTTTTACAATTTATGYAAAGATTTTCCCTTTTCATTTTTCATATATGCCTTTAAAATGAGACAATTAATTTAATTTTTAGCTTGCATAATTTTGAAATATCTGATAATTTGTTAACATATTTAATTTAACAATTAAACGATTCTTCTTTGAAGCAGGACTTAGCTATGCAACCTTTATTTTCAGTAACTACATTAAGAAGTAGAGCTCACCTCTTTAGTTATATATCCATCTTTATTTATATCATACAAATTGAAAGCCCAGTTCAGTTTCTCCTGTACTGTCCCTCGGAGTAAAATTGAGAGACCCATGACAAAATCCTAAATAGACAAAAAGTCTTGATCAGTTTGGAGCAGTTGAGCAGTTTTTCACAAACACTCAGAAATCCAGAATAATACAYTTGTCACAAGTCTGGAAAGATACGTTGTTTCAATTTGTTTTGCTTCACTATAAGTGGTAATGATTTCTGGATTAACAATCTAGGCACTATTTGCTACACTCATAGTTAATAAGTAAATTGAGTAATTTTCTATAAAGTAAACCATAATTTTCCATTTGTAGTTGTATCCTCTGAAGTGTCTAATGTCTCACATAAGCAGTTCCTATTGAACKTAATACCAGGAAAAAGCAATCCTCATGGTTTAATGGTCCAAGAAAAGCTTAAGTAGGAGTTAGATTAATCTAAGCACAGGAGACCAATTTGGGAAGAACTGTGTACTAAGGAACAYTAAATTCTTGTTAAATCTGTACCTTGTTAAAGTGGAATATGTGGTTCCCAGATCTCTTAGATCGATCTGCTGCAGTCAGTATTTCAAACTTCATGTATGATACTGCACACCTCAATTCTTATTACTTTTATTGGAAGTATGATAGGCAAKAATAAATATATTATGTGTCCATATACCATCTTAATGTTTTTGTGACCCACCAAGCATCTGTTGCTATAGAGCTATTCCACAGAAATGAAYCAGAAAGTTTTTGAGATTATTTATATGTAGTATTAGGTTACAGATCTTTGTTTCATAGTAAATACTCTTTTGACAGCATAAACCTGACTTACGTTTAGTGAACGTCTTCCAGACTGGGGAAAATATCAAMTCCCATCACCTCTCTTGTGTATTTCTTAGCATGTTAACTATTTTTTCCCTTAACCATCTCCTCCACTTTTTCYATTTGATAAGTTTATGAACCCATAAATATGTGAAATTGCCTTCATAATAGGTTGAGCAGAATATGACAAGTGTTTATACTTAAATGTGCCTTTCCACATCACATCGCTGGCAATGACATACAGGAGSTCTTAGAGTAACATTGAAGCAGAGACAACAAAAGCTGAAATATCTTGTATCTGCACTAGCAAAGGTTTTGCATTTCCTCTAACACAGAAACAATGGAAAAGACTACACTGAGGTTAGACATAAATTACAAAGGCCTGGTGTACCACACAGTCCACTTAGTGTTCCTGATACAGTGAAGTATACACAGATATCATGGCCTCAGATGGTCTAGTAGGCACAGACAGCTCATCTGACAGCTTCAGTCTTTTTAACAATTCAATTGGCATGCTCTGGGTTTTCTTAGTCTGTCACAAATTCTGTCTGATTGGTATATGTCCCTTTTGRGGTAAATGGATACATGAATCTTGAAAGAGTTTTGCTCATCTTGTCATCTCAATGACTAATTGAGGGTCACAGGGTTAAGTCTCCAAACAGCTTTTCAACAATGTACTATTAAACATTAAAATGTTCAAGAAATTTGATCACATTACAGCATTAGCAATTAACCTTTTAAATTCAGTACCATGTCTTCAAATCTTTTCTGCACTGTTTTATATTTGTGATGCAGCTTCTCCTGAAGTCCTTTGTGAAGTTCCCCAGTTGCATTATTTTCKCAGATTATATARTTCTGAATTTATTTTTATTTTGCAYAGCAACAKTCTTGAATTTATCTAAGCYATATMAAYTTGTATTTTCTTGTTCAATTCTCTTAGTTCCTTTTTGCGATGCACCACCTCTGTTAGCTGACTCCCTGGAATCTTTTATTATCCCCATTTCCAAGGGTACCCTTCTATTATTGGTTTTAAAAATAAAACCCTTTGTTGTTTTTATGGGACTAGATGTTCTTAAAAAGCAGAGACAACCTTCCAGGTATGTGCTCTGAACACGGCAGCAGTGAGTCATTGCCTTCCATAYTGCATCAACATGTTTTGGAGTCACACATAGTTTGAGTGCATTGCCTTTGTCTGAGTGTTGTGCAGGAGTCATCTCAGGCACACTAAAAAGGATTTATAGTAATAGGAAGTTATGATGAACTGGATGAGGACCAGCTTGGGGTGGATATCTTTTCTACGTACTTACTTTCAAGCAATTGAAGAACGCAGTAAGAGAACCACACAGAAATAGATTATCTGATTCAATGGATATAGGCTAAATCCACAGGGTATTTTGGGCTAGGGCCTTGAAAGGGAAAATGCTCTGTATGGTGGAAGGCAATGTGTGCCAGGAGGAGTGTAGCCATTCTAAGCTAATAATCAAGTGCAGAGAGCTATACTAAAACAGAAGTGCAGAGAGAAGCAGCTAAAATCAGAGAGCAGCTGCCCAGCTTTATGCACGTCACCAACAACTCAGTGACACATGAATCAGGCACACCATTTAGCAAAGAGCACAATACAAGTCCCCATTACAGTATTAGAGTACCCATCTCTAATACTGTAATCTCTATGTTTTCCATTGCGGTTTAGACGTCTAATTTCTAGGAAGAGAGGAATTCTTCTTTTAGAACTTATCATTGGCCACTGAGAGGGATGGTTCTGCTCAGCTGAGCACTTAGTGGGAGGAGTTTCATCTGACAAAGGAGCCTAAAACAGGAGGTCTGGTCTGAGTCACTGATCTAGGTTGGGTTTTTCTTCAGTCTGTGACAGTGAAGTTAGAAGCACAAATGGTACTGCCTTGGTATTTGCCTTTACTCCCTTCCACAGTTTCCTGTTTGTAACTTGACAGTTTCCTRCAGAGCATCCTAATACCTGTTAAGACTTCCTTCTGTACCTAATTTTGACTCTTCAGGAAAGGGGGATGTCTCACTGAAGGGTTGCAAAATGCAGCCCCTGTACCAGAGCCTCTGTGTACTTAGAGCCTTCTCACATTTCTGTTCTGTTCTGCAGCTGTTGAGAATGTCTGTTWGTAATCTGGGATGAACTTGTATTTGTGGATTTTTTTCCAGCAGTGATTAATTATCTCCAAGCAAGGTTGTTGATGGCTTTCTGATTGCTTTATCTGGAGGTGAATCTTTGGTGATAATTASTTCATTAATAAATTAATTAACAAGCTTATTAGTGTGCTGTCTCAAATCCATAGGAAAACTTAAAATTACTCCACCTAGTCAGGTGTTCCTTTATGTCTTTTCCAAGGCCAGAAGTAGGTAGGCAGGAACGTAAATCCATTTTTAAATTTAGATTTTAGGATTTTGAAAAGGAATCAAGTGATGTCATAGAAGTGGTTGGAGCCCTGCTCTGTATAAAACAAAGGTCACAGAGGAGGAACTGCTGTTAAAAGRAAATATTTTTCTTTGTAGTTACTTTAAATTAGATAGTGTTAAAATGCTTATGAGATCACCACTGTACTGAGAAAAACTAGCTCATTTCCTGCATGACATGGACAAACCTTTTTGTGTTGAACCCACAGGATCATGCTTGTGAACTTYATGAAATTCAACAAGGGCATGTTSAAGGTCCTGCACCTGGGTCAGGGCAATCTCAAGCCCAAATACAGGCTGGGCAGAGAATAGATTTAGTCCTGAGRAAAAGGACWTGGGRATATTGGTTGATGACAAACTCAACRTGAACCAGCAATGTGCATTTGCAGCCCAGAAAGCCAACCATGATCTCGGCTGCATCAAAGGAAAAGTGGCCAGCAAGTTAGGGAAGGTGATTCTGTCCCTCTTGTCTGCTKTCATGGGACCCCACCTGGARTGCTGCATCCAGCCTGGGGGCCAAAGAACAGGGACCTGCCAGAACAAATCCAGAGCACTGRAGCACCTCTGGTATGAAACAGGCTGAGAGAGTTGTCTTGCTCAGCCTGGAGAAGAGAGGGCTCCAGGGACACCTCAGAGTAGCTCTGATTATCTAAAGAGAATCTACAAGAGAGCTGGGGAGGGACTCTAGACAMGGACATGGAGAGACAGGAMAAGRGGAAATGGCTTGAAACTGGCAGAGAGTAGGTTTAAATTAGCTATTTGGAAGAAATTCTGTACTGTGAGGGTGGTGAGGTRCTGGAACTGATTTYCCAGAGAAGCTGTGAACATTCAATTTCTGGAAGTGTCTAAAGTAATTTTGGATGGAGCTTTGAGCAACCCAGTTTACTGGGAGATGTCCCTGACCATGGCACAGGACCTGGAACCAGATGATCTTCAAGGTCCCTCCARCCCCAGGCATTCTATGATTCTRTGACTCATTTCACTGCTGCCACCACAATACTGCCTTGGACACCACTTTTATTATTAGTGAAATGTGAAGTTGATTTTAAGAACTGTACTATTCTATGGAACTGAGTTAGCATGMTTGGTAATTTATTAACCAATATAAATTTAGGCTTGATTAAATATGACAGAAATCTTTAAACGTTTCCATTRTGTTTGGGCACAGCATTGTGCTTTAAGGTACTGAGAATTAGTGGGATTATTGAATAAATTTCAGCAAGGTCACATTTAGAATAACCTTAATCTGTATCTACAACAAACCAAGGATACTGATTTGGATATTTGCGTGTGTGTGCCATAAGCTTTACCTTTGCCAATATGTCTGAAGTTAATTAGCCTCCATTTTTCTGACTATGTAAAAAGCTTTGAGGCCAAGTCTTCATTTTGGCTGGATCACAATATGCATGCAGCAAATGGGAACCTTGCTTTTATATCTGTCTCTGTCTGATGGAAAAAAAGAACTTCACTAATATGGCCAAAGAGCCCTCCAATAGCTGGGTCWCTGGGTCTTCAGAAACTCTGTCTTCATATTAAAGCAAAACTAGTTCACAAAACTAATGAAACAAACTAGCTTCAAAATTAATACAATCAAAGGATAAGGAGAGATAATTAAAGCACCTCTTTTAATGAGTTTGTTTTTAATGCTACATAAATCCTTCACTTAGAGATCATGACCCTTACCTCAGAGCACACAGATTTAGGCATGACAAAACTCTAAGGACACAACAATCTCACCAAGAAATGTCATTTGAGGTGTGCATTTAAGGTGTGCTAAAGTCTAATACTTCACTGTTGATGGTTGAAAATTTGAGGAAARAAGAGCAAAAAGCTAAAGAAAATTCTCTCTTTTTACCCACAACTCCAGCTACCAATGCTTCATGGAACCTCGAGAGTGCACAAAAAAAAAGTCATTCTTACCTACAAAAGAATCTTGCTACCATTTCAGGTTTTGATATTGGTTTTTTTTTTTTTTTTTTTTTTTACACAGAAGATAGCCAGGGTGCTTTTATCATAGGTTCTTATATTAAATAGTATTTACTGCTACACTTTGATATAGAAAGTAATTTGGAAATGAATCATGTTCTCCAAACTTTTAAATTACTCCTTCTCTACCTTTTGAGCTGTTTACTTTTGTTGTTTTTCTAATGGAAATTAGAAAACTGGAATAAAGATTGGAATAGAAAGAATATTGCACAGCTGCACCCAGGATAAAAAGGAGCAGGAAAAAAAGAGAGATTATTGTATTTTGCACATTTCACAATATCTTTCACATTTTGCAGCTATTTTCATGTGATTATAGGAAAACATTTTAAAACATATTTTTAACATCAGAAAGATGCTTTTAGAATGGCTATTATACAGTTACAGTAAGTGTAATGTTGCTGAGAGGACACAGAATCAAGAGTTGTTTGACAGCAGTAGAGTTATGCTGGATTCACAATTAGTGMAAATAAATCAAAGTCTGGATCACTCATGTCAGCCTTAACATTGAACAAAAGTAAGCTGGGAATATCTGTTTGGGCAATGAGAAAAGGCACTGCTGCTTTTATTTTCCTGTTTTATTTTATTTCAAAACCTATTTTTTTTGTGCACAAACCTGCACTCTGAAATAATCAAAACCCTTAAAAAGGGCTYCAAATCTAGTGCATTTCTTAAGGCTTTCTGTCTGATACAAAAATGTCAACAAATTGACCAGAAAAGCTACAAAAGCTTTTTTTGTTCCCTTTTTTTTTATTTTTTCTATGAGAACAGCAGAAACACTTTTCAACTACTGGTTCTAAAAATGGTCTTTCTCAATGCATCTGGTGTTGCTGAAACTGAGAGAGGGTAAGTTTAGGTTATAAATGCAAAAGAAATTCTTTACTGRGAGAGWGGTGAGGCCCTGGAGCAGGTTGCCCAGGGAAGTTTTGAATGCCCCATCCCTGGAAGTGYTCGAGGCCAGATTGGATGAAGCAATTTGGTCTAGTGCAAGGTATCTCTGCCTGTGGCAGAGGGTTTGGAACTAGGTGATCTTTAGGATCCTTTCCAATTCAAACCATTTATGATTCTTAATTTCACCAGAATAATCCTTGTAGTTTCATCCTGTGCACAGAAGATATTAATAAAACCTCCATTCCTGCTTCTAGTTTCACACAGATMCCACTGACCTCAGCTGCCTGGAAAAAGGCAGATAGGGTTCATGGGTTTTTTTTTAAATAAATTAAAATAATAATAAAAAATCTGATTGTAGTCTTAGTTTAGTGTATAGACTTCTGATCACAGTGCACCTGAGTGGCAAGTCTTCTTCCTATTACATCAATTCATTATTTTTATTAAAAAAAACCCAACTGTCTGACCTCACACCATCATTCACCAAAATAACTTGTGAAAACATACACAGGACATTTCAATAAATTTAAAGTGAGTGTATTTATCACAAGTCAATCACAAGTTGTAAGGAAATAATTCATTCATTATAATCAAAACAAACCAAAGCAAAACATGACAAAACAAACATATTCTTTTGCAACTGAACTGACTTTTAAAAGTGTATAGCTTAAAATATTATCTCCTTTGCAGTATATTGTACAACCTTCTCCTCATCTACACTACTGCACGTCCCTTTTTACCATATTACTGTGTGGATGACATCAGCTTTAGCAGGGAAAGAGGGAACTAGGAAAACAGATTGGGCAGTTAAATGAAGGAAKAATGAATTTCAAACTCCTGTGCTTTTAAAAACATTTGCTTTAAAGATTTTTCTAGAACTTTCTGGAAACTAAGTATGAAAATTCCTGTTTTGGCTGAGTCATCCCCATAACAATGATTGTAGTTCAGAGGCCTCATCTTAAAAAGGCAGAGAGGAAGAACTATTTTAGGTAACTTGTMTATAAATTAGGTTACCTTTTMAATGGACAGATTTTWAAAAATATTATGTAGTAGTGCAGTCTGAGTTATCATTATGGAATATACAATTGTGAAATAATTACTTTTGATATTACATTGGAAAAACTTGAAACTTGAGTCACATAAACCACATCTTCTCTAATGTGAACCATATAATAAAATCCACCAAACTGGACATCATTACAAAGAATGGCAAAACATTCAATTTTATAGAAATAAGCAACAGCATCACTTACCTCAAARCTTACAGATCCATTGTGATCAGTGTCAAATGCATTAAACAGAAAATGTGCATATGTTGTGGAATCTAAAATTTAAAACAGAAGAAAATAATTCACAATAAGCACGTATTATTTAATAAAATTTAATTTAATTGTATTGAAACTATTTGATACCGAGATATAGTTCGATACCAAAATTTTGTATCAAGACTAGGTTTTCAATYAAATTTAAACTTCAGCAGGAGAGGAGGGATAAGTTGTAAGTGCAAGTACATGGATAGCAACGCTGCTAGAAACCAGTGAAAAATTCTGTTCTAGAATATCTCCATTCGTTTTTATTCTTGCCTTTGTTCGTCAGTGATACCTGAGCAAATAGCAAAGATGACGTTATTGTACTCTGAAACAATGTGTTTTAACAGGAACACAGACTGACAGTGACAGGGGATCTATCTCACATTTAAAATGAAGAATGTGTTCTTTGTTCCCGTTAAACGGGGGGCAGATACCACCTCACTGCCCACGTGTGTCGGGTTTGCTCTGGACACAGACCTGGCTCCAGGTCAAAGCTGATCTGTCAGAAAGCTGCTGCTGCAATCGGGTCCTGTGCTCACCCACAGGGGACAGGAAATCCTCTCCTGAGAAGCAGATTCTTAAAGCTGATTTGATGCTGAATTCCCATGGCCATTGCATTAGGGATTGGAAAAACTGGCTGTGACTGAATGGTCAGTAAGACTCTGAAAGATGACCTTAAACAAATGATCCCTTCACTATTTGCATACTTTCCAAACCTCCTCCCCAGTGTGTATTGACTCATTTCAGAAACAGAAGGTGCAYAACAGCATGAATATAAATCTGTCAAGACTATAATTTTTGTGAAGATCMATCTTTCTGTTTCCACTGAATGCTTTCTGAAAGACACAAAGTTCTCCAGGAGTAATATATTGTGAAGAGAAAACTTACCCAGAGACCGCCCCGTGGACATGAGGTACGAACTGCGGGGGTTAAGGGAACTGTCCACAATGTCTTTTCCCTCCCTCAAAATCATGCAAATTAAAGTAGGAYGAGGGCTTGTTTACTTTTAATACTCCTTTTCCTCTTTGTACTTCATATGTTTACATTAATTTTAGGTTAATTAACATTAACTTCACAAATTATTAGTAAAGGGCAAAGTGTTATTAAATCAGTGTACCCTTTGCAGAACAAACCTATCATGGAAAAGCCTGATCAGTGCTAAAATGCCATTTTCTAATTTCTTGGCACTAAACTACTTTACCTTTTATATCAATCCTGCAAACTTTTATTTTTCACAGCCCAAAATACTGTTTTGAATTAAACTGAGCAATAGCCTTGGGACACTCACCTGAAATTCCATCTTGACTCCACGGATCTAAATACCGCAAAACTCAAAGCTTTGTCATTCAGTTCAGGTTCAGTCCTGATATTTGGAAGAAAAGTCTCTAGTCTTACTTCAATATGTTAATTTTGTATGATGTGAAATAATCATAATAGGAAAAAACTGCAATCTTTAAACCCTGTCTGTTAACACATTTTCAGAGAATTAAATTCCCACCATCAATATTTGAGAGTCATTCATTCTTCCATGTATCCAGTCACCACTGTAATTGCTTAAAGCACAGCTTGGCAGACACATTCACACTTTAACTGAAAAATGTAAATKTGTTGACTTCAGTTTATGTTTAGGATTTTAATAGTCATATTTTTTATAATCTACTGAGACTTCTGTTGTGCAACAGAATATACTATGCAAATCATCTTCAGGGAAAAAAAAACATGTTGTAGAGGTATAATTACTGTAAACTGAATTTTAAATATCTTCCTTTTTTCTTGGCTCTAATTTCTTAAAAGCATCTAAAATATTCCTGGGGGGTTTTTGTAGATACACAGAAAACACACAGGTATTTTATTTCTGTTGCCCACAYGTGATGCAACATACTGCTCTTTTGGTATGATGGTATATGAAAAAACCAGTCCCTAGTTGAAGAATATTTTTTTTTTCTGGTAATCTCTCTGAAAAAAAAMCAAAACAAAACCAAGGCCTTTTTCAGAGTTGTTTGTTCAAGCAATTCTGGTCTGAAATGTTTTCCTCCAAAAGCACAGCAGGGTGAGGCACGTGAGCCTTTTAATTAGAGCTACTTAATTTAATTGCCCCCATTCCCTGCCTCCTGAATCTTGAATATTAATAATTTTAGACAGAATCTCAACTTTTTTAATTAAATATAGTTTATTTCCAGGGATCTGATATCATAACTAGTAGGCCAGTCTGCTATTTTAACAGGTCAAGATAGGAACAGATATTAAATCAGAATTCCCTTGAAAAACACCATCAAAGCATTTTAAATGTCAGAGACAAAAAATGATAGTCATTAGACATGGGAGAGTATGGCTTATCAAACTATGAGCATGATCTATCTTGTTCAGAAGTGATGAAGTAGTGTAATAATTATTCAGTGTGTGGATTCTTATCTATGACCTGCCTGGCTGAAGAAAAATTCCCAAGTTATATTTCAGGTGATCCCCTGCATAAGTGAAGGGGATGCATTTATTCWACCGTATGGCAGTGAATCTAAAAAGAAATTACTGGAGTGCCTTTTCTGGCATGGAAAGCTTTCTACAAAGCTGTTTTTTGTCTTTTAAAATACATTGCTTTTACTGCAATGCAGTGTCATCTCCTTTCCTTTGTTACTCTTGTGGCCCCTAGTCCTAYTTGCAGCCCTCCTGTACTTTTTCCTGGACAGTCTTGGAAGTCACTTAATGAAGTGACTTGGTGTATGACATTGAAAAATTTCTTTGATTGCYCTGAAGCTTAAAATTTTACAGACCTATTTATTTTTTTTTGTGTTCAGATACGAATTGTCATAATGATSCATCTTATTTTATCTGGTTTTTCATCACACAGGAAATTGCAGCACAGATCTATATGTAAGATACATTTTAATTTGGGGACAACTTTCCAGATTCTTCTTTCCTCTTTAGTATTTGGATATACATAAAATCATTATTTCAAGCACAATTGAAATTTAAAGGCCTCAGCTGGACACATTATTTTGATAAGACATTTAAAGATTTAAGAACCTAGTCTGGCTTCTTAACTAGACAGTCCCCTGCACTTCTCACCTCCTCCTCCAAAAGATGCCACTGCCCTAAATGCCAGAGGAGGAGCAGAAKGATCAGTATTAACACCAGGAATAGGGGTGGAAACTAGACATTCAGTATATATCTATTTTACATTAATATTTTTTAATTATTAATAACAAATTTTAGTAATTTTTCTTCTCGGTAATAATTAGATCTGGACTAATAAAGATTAGTCTTTTGAGATTGAATTCACTCCCACAATATGTTTTGACTTTACCTTTAGAACAGATGTGCTTTCTCTTTGCCATAATATTTTGGGTGTAACAATCGGAAATATGATAGATGTTTTTTATTATTTTAAGTGTAGTAAAGGTGCAGTAAATCACATGGAGGGAATTATTTTCACTAGCCACAGTAACTAAAAAAATATGATATTTCAAACTGTAGTTGTTATCTTGGTCTGAAAGTTTACACATAGAAACAATCACTAGGCACATCAACCCTTTTAACCTTTTGATCTCCTCTGTTGAGTGTGCCTACTTGTTAAGGATTTCAGAGATGGTAATCCACACTGAATGCYACTCTTTACCTTCTAGGTCTTTCTCCAAAATAAAACTTATGGGGAGATATTTTGTTTCTGCTGATTAAGTATGGGGTTTCAAACAAAAAATGAAAAGGAGTTTTGAACAGTCCCAGAGAAGCTATGGGAGAATTTGAAGAGGAGGRATTGACAGATTGTAGGAGAATATGGAGAGGGATAACTGAATAGCAAATGCAAAAGCAAGAAAAGAGAGGACAAAAAATCAAATTGAAAGAAATCTGAGGTTCAAGGAAAAAACCYGTTATACATTTTTGCATTACCTTCATTGCACTTAAAGATAATGGAGATAAAAAATTGCAAAACTCCTGGAAATCAATTAATTGAAATCAAGGTTAGCGTTTAAGAAGAGAAACCCCATAGAATTAAGTTTTAAGGTTMATATATTTTATTTTGTTTATTGTCTTGCTATTGATATTAGAAGGCACCTGCAGGGTCTCCTACACTTCTTCCTACAGTGAAAGGGTTTTTTTGAGTAAAAGAGAAMATTGCAAGAAATTTTAGCAATCCTAAAGTGAAATAACCTACTCAGGAGAAACTTGGTTTTCAATGGTAATCAAGCACAGGTAGTAACTTCATAACAGAAGACTGACTTTTTGTAGATATCATTGCATTTCCTGCAGAAATGTGTCCAACCACCAAAGAAATACCCTGTGAGTTCAGACAGAGCTTGAGGCAACAATCTTGTTAATCTGAACAACAGGCTTCTTTGTCAGACTTAGACAAACTAATAGACACACTATAGTACTAATTACATCTGCCAAGTACTCACCTCCCTGTGGAAAGAACTGAGAGTAAATCTCTTTGAAGGTTTCTTCATTGACAACACCACTGGGGCATTCCTGGAAAAAAGTGACAAGAAATGAATACCATCCAATGTGGTCCAGTTGATTTGTGTGTTCATGAGACCACCCACAACGTGTGACTGACAGTTTAATATATGATTTCGCACTTCAACCAAATATCAATGCACATTATCACACTGAAATATCCTCCTAAACAATTCCCACGAGACAACAATTCCTTCTGTGCTATGAATTTCGACTTCAGCTGAGACCCGAGCGACACGTGAGCAGCAAGCACTGCCATGGTGAGCGGAGCTATTGGTGTCACCTGTGGAGCTGTCGGGCCATGGGTGGGCACTGCCTCAGCTGCAATCGGCATTTTCACCGTATGGAAATTGAGCAGGCATGGAAACACGTAGGTAATGCAGAAGGAACACTGTAATTGTTTGCTAAGTCACACATAAATATACAAGACCAGAGAGCTGATTTCCAGTCCTGAGTTTGCCAGACTGAGCAGAAGACTTTGGGCAGTGCACATAATTCCTTTTTTGCCCTGATTTCTTCTTTAATATGAAGAGTGAAAAAAAAAAAAAAAAAAGCCTGGTATTCTCTTTGAAAAGAAAGGATTTTCAGAAACAAAGGAAAACAAGAAAATGAAAATGAAGTCTTAAGGTTCATACATTTATTTTTGTCTATTGCCATGCTGTTTGGACTGAGGACTCAAACATGTGCTCCCAGTCCTAAACTCAAGATATTAAATAACTTGAAATAGAGATAAAGAGCAGTTTAACAACAACTTTTACTGTGAGAAAAATASTTTTCCAATAGATCAAATATGAACCATTGAGATATTTATGGTTCTGGCACTTTCTGCTAAGGATCAAATAGTGTAATCTTGCTAATTGAGAGAAAAATGCACTGAGACATGCATGTCAGATCTGTAGGTCTAGAATTATTATGATTTTATGTCACTTATCCTTAGCTAAAATCAACTTTTCATCATAACTAAGCACATGGAAACATACAATAAGAAACAATTGTATTTAATTAAGCAGACAGACAAACAGCTGTGTCAAAGATAGATATACAAAATTATTTGTTCCTGGGCACAGGGGCTGTCACCAATGGAGGCAGAGTTAGAGCACAGGTCTGTGTAAGATGAGAAAAATACTGACTCTGGGTCACACTGCAAACAAAACATTTGGGGAATGGGAGGAACAATGAAATGGATCTCTATCCTTCATTAGGTACGGAGCAATCCATAATTGAGGAATCATCTCTTTGCCTGTCATATCTTTGGCTGTGAAGGCATTCTGAAACCTCTCCCTCTCTTTACCAGCTTCCCAAAGAGATTGCAGTCAGATAGGACAGTGTCTCTGTGGTTCCCAGAAGGTTTACAGTTGTTTCCCAAGTAGCAAGCAATAGGACAAGARGAAAYGGCCTCAAGTTGCCCCAGGGGAGGTTCAGATTGCATATTAGAGCAAATTTTTTCACTGAAAGGGTTATCCAGCATTGGAACAGGCTGTCCAGAAAGTGGTTGAGTCACCATCCCTGAAGAWATTTAAAAGCATGTRGATGTGGTGCTTAGGGACATGGYTGAGTTRTGGATTTGSCAGTGCTGGGTTAATGGTTGGACTTGATGACCTCMGWCTTCTTTTTCARCCTTGATGATTCTATGATGTTATGATTCTACTACTCTGCTTGTCTTATGTGAAGCCTTCGGGAGTTGCATAACGTAGAGTTGCATGCAAAGTAGCAACATTTTTGCTTGGATTCAAAGCAGAATAAAGAAAACATCAGTAAATTCTTCAGGTATTCATTGAAATAATATTATAGTTATTGAATGTAGAAAATGTAACAAAGGTGTAAGTTCACCTTCCAGGCATACATTGCTATATGATCTATGTCATTCCCAGATCTGCACAAGGGAAAATAAACAGTTTTSCCTCCCAGATGTGTGTCAGTGTGAAAGAACAATGCAGCATTTAGGAACTTAGAAAAAGAAGCAGTGGTTTCTTTCTGTTCTGTGGGTAATTTCTTTTTCAGACAAGAAAAAAAAAAAAGCTTGGCACATTTTGAAGGAATTAAAGAGAAAAACTGTACATTTGAATTTGCACAGGTCAGATATTGCCTTTTATTTTTTTCCTGAGAAGCGTAATAAATAATGAATGACAAAATGCGCATTTAAGTCCATCTAACTCTATGACTTAATAACATTTCAATTTTTTCCCTTTCCCTTGACTGACAAAGACATTCAGACCATATTCACTTTGCAAAGAATGATCTCCCCTGTTTTACAAGAAATGCCAGCAACTCCAACTCTGTCAGTCCATGGTCTGAAGTTGTGAAGACCAAAACTTCCATTTCCTGACTGCATTTAAATGTTGTGATGCTWGAGGAGAATTAAAGGTACTCTGGAAAAATCTGTCTGATTTATTATTTGTTAGTTCAGAATAGGTTGGCAGCCTTTATATTAGAGAAATACATGATCTACATATCTCATTTAAATGCAGTACTTTTTTTTTTTTTTTCTGTCACTTAATAAGCTCTGCTTTCACCTTACTGTTTGAAAGAATCATTGCTTGAAAAGGCAACCTACTTTCAGAGAATTATATATTAGCAGWGCCAGGAATGACATCTTGAGTCTCTCTAGCTTGTCCCTCTGTAGTTTTCTCTGTTCTTTGCCACAGCATTGCCAGTAACTTTATCTTTTCCATCTTTGAAGGTCTGTGGTAACGGTGTCTTAAGGACATTCATTAAAAACCTGAGACRCTGGCCAATTACACTCACCAGAAATATCAGCTCAAACTTTCTTTAGCATGCATCTTTCCTCTGAGACTCTACATGACAGGGAATACTTCTGATCTTGAATAATTTCATTCTAAAAATATRTGTGGCCAACATAATTTACCTCCACGACTGCACTTTTCTCGACTCATAAATCTGGCTTTATTGTGTTTATCAGATTTGTGCAGTTCAGAGAAAGAGATTGAATATTGTAATTGTTAAGCATGTCCCATGGTTTTATGTCAAGTTATTGCTGACTTCTTGCACTCTACCAACTATAATTAAAAAAAATCTATCTAACCTTTCATTAAACACTTATAAAGGAGATGAAAATAATTAAATAGCTTGAAAAAAAAATGTGAGGCTTATTTAAACAATTTCCTATATTCTTTCTATTTATTTTGTTACAGCAAATTTCTTTGCCAATCTTTTTAAATTCCATTAATGTATTAGATATTCCTTCTGGAGAGTAAAAAGAAGGGAATGTTCATCCTGAACTGAATCCAGTGCTCTCTCTTTTAAAGAGGAAAATAATATAAACTGWCAGAAAGAAGAGACAGAGAATAATAAATATGATTCTCTCTTTTGATGATCTCTCTTGCTTGCAATTTTGCTGCTGGGAAATTACACCTCCAGCACATGGTCTTATGAACCMCTCCAAACCCTGTAAATTATTTACMTGCTCATACTGTCTAATATTCTCTCCTTCAGTATTTTTAMGAATACTGCAGAAGGTGATTCTTCYTTAGTACCTAATCAACATCCTTTTCAGAAAAGAGGCAAACCAAGAAGACACAAAAAAAGGAGAACTAGTGAAATGTAGGAAAGAGAAACAAACTCAAAGCTCAGACTTGTCTGCATAACAATTTTGACTGATAGATAAAGCTGGAGCTTTGGCAACTTTGAATAATTTTACTTACAGACTTTTGCATGACAGGTTCCCCATCCCATGCTTCATCTGCTGTCAATTTTCATACTGCTTCATTTTAGATATCTGTTCATGTCCACTGATTAATTATCAGTGACTGATCATATTTTCTCTTTTTGCATATACTCCTATTCTGACTGCAAATTTAAATTTCCCATATACACAAAACTTAGTGGAAGAACATAGTATTAACATGTTATCTATCCAAACCAATGCTACCAAAAGTCTCAAAACYTAAACCCACTGTGTTTTTTTTATRGACTGGTCCAGTTCCTAATTTTTCYATCTGAATATGATAGGGCTTTGATCAGAACAGTSTGATAATTTAACAAAAAACCTTGATTTAATAATAAAATCAAAGGCCAATTGATAACAAAATTTGTGCAATCAGGCACCTCATGAAGTTCAACAAGAATTTCCATGTTCTGCCCCTGGGAAGAAATTTGTCCTTGCCCCAGTATCAGCTGTGAAGTGACTGCTAAACAGGATGTGGGGGTACAGGGGATGTGAGCCAACACAACATTTTAATTCTGTGTAAGATAAACCACCTGCAGGGACAAGGCCAGAAGGATGAGGGGTTATTCTCTCTCTCTGCTTGGGACAATCTTGGTGCACTCTAGGGATATTTGATGTATCTAATGCATGTTTCTGATATTGCTAACTGATACACAGCCTTGCTGATGACTTTCATTTTTTTCTGAAAATTGAGCAAAATGACAATTATACATTTCACATGGGTTGCAATAGCAAATTAATTTCTCCCACTAAGAAATACGAACAGTATTTTTGGACTAAATATCTAATTTCATTCAGAATAGAACCACATGCATTTGGTAGTTAATCAGTGCACACTGATGTGCATTTAGCCTGTATTGGCCTCCCATGGCAAGACATCAGTGGCTGCATAGTAAAGTTATTCAGCAAAAGTATYAGCAAAACATGAGCCAATGTTTTATATGTTAGAAACATTTTGTTCATGTGGCTACAGAAATGTATTATATCAGCAAAGTTTGTATATGAAATGTACAGTRAGTTTTTTAGTGGGCTTATAGAAAAATCATCACAAGGGAACACAGATGATCTGCAGATTCATTTGGTGAAGTATTTAAGCAACACATAAATTATCTGGAACAATTCCACTGATACTGAGTTCACAAATCACTCCTATCTTGATCCTCCTCCAAAGAAAAACACGTGTCTAAAGTAGAACACGTAAGAAACTGAGGTACAAGCATTCTCTGAGCAGGGAAAAGATAAGGACTTTGGTGAAACATGACTATCATGGTCTCATATACCTTGGAACAAGAGAAACACCAGATAAATCTCACTCTGAAAGGTGGAC